AGTAAACTTAAATAGAAAACCAAAATATCACGTCGTACGCTGTGTAGGCGGCTCATCCGAGTCAACGGAAGACTTTTCATCGTCTTCAGACTCTCCCGTGCCGTCGGGAAGGAAGTCAGCGTCGCTGTTGTCATCCTTTTCCATGCCTAGAGTGGCAAATATATAATTTAGCTCTGCCTGCTTTCTCAAGACTCGCCCTGTAATATGCGAATACAAAACTTAAATATTATCGTCAACAACTTTCTCACAATATCTTCTTACCGTGCGATGATGCACTCCCTGTCTTGCGCGTAGGTGCCGCTTCTTCTGTGCATCGTACCGGGGTCTGCTTCTGCGCTTCCGAAGCCCCTTTTGGCTCCATGATCGACCCGCAGCTCGCCAGAATTCTCCCTTCGTCAACCAGCCCAGAAAATGTGAGGCGCTCAGCAGTGCGTACTTAGAATGATCGCCTGAAATTCGTAACTAAGCGAAATGGTAATTTAGAGAAAATAGATTCGCGTGAAATTTTTGAAACGGGGATACAGCAACCATACATGTCCCAAAACGACTAAAACAACTTTAAGTTAAGGTTGCAGGAACCACTCCGGCACGTCTTCTTTTGGATCTTGCAAAAAACAAACACATTATGTCTAAAATACCGGTACCCATGAACATTTTGGCCCTAATTGCGATTTGTATCTGTCCTAAGACTAAAAATAACCGGAAAGTCACCGGTTATTTTGACACAGACAACATATGCCGCGTTAGGACTCCTGAGCGATGCTTCGCTCATGCCAAGACACCCTTGGTGCTCGGTACGCCCGCAGTGGCATCGTGCTTAACGGCAGTACGCAGCGCGACGGCTAGCGCCTTGAAGGACGCTTCGGCGCGGTGGTGGTCGTTGCGGCCGCGGAGCACATCCACGTGCAGGGTCAGACGCGCAGCGCTGGCAAACGACTCGAAGAAGTGCGTGATCATCTCGCACGACAGCTCGCCCACGCTCGGACGCACCAGCTGCAGGTTGATCTCGCTGTGCGCACGACTCGAAATATCCACAATAGCGCGGGACAGAGCCTCGTCCAGTGGCACACAGGCCGACCCGAAGCGAGCGATACCGGCGCGGTCGCCCAGCGCGACGTCGAAGGCCTCGCCGAGCGTCAGCGCGCAGTCCTCCGTCGTGTGGTGGTCATCGATCCACGTATCGCCCTTGCAGTCCAGCTCCAAGTCAAAGCGACTGTGCTTGGCCAGAGCCGTCAGCATGTGGTCCAAGAAGCCAATGCCAGAGCTCACCTTGGACTTGCCCGTGCCGTCCAGCGACAGCTTGACACTGATAGACGTCTCCTTAGTCACTCGCGAGATATTAGCCTCACGAACGCCACTCTTCCCATTAACAGTTGGGGCTTTACTCGCCGTCGGGACCGCCGGGACGAGGTCCAGCAGCTCTCCAAGTCCCGGAGTCAGCACAACCGAAGCTCCGACCTGTTCCAATACCTTGCCAATAGCCGCAGGCGTCTGCTCTAGGATCGACTTGGCGTACGTCTGCGGGGTCAAGACTCCGTACGCAACAGCCCCAGCCTTGCGGCCAGCGATGATGTCGTCTACTGTGTCTCCCACCATGGCGGCGTGACAGGCTTCGACGCTCAGCGCCTTGAGGGCCAGAAGAATAGGCTCCGGTGACGGCTTAGGCGGACAGTCCTCCATGCAGATCTGCACGGGGAACAAGTCCTCGATGCCGTGGGTGGTTAAGAACTTGGCGCAGTCTTTGCGAGGTCGTCCCGTGACCACCGCCATGCCCTTCGGTAGACGACGGTGCAGTTCACGCAGCAATCCCTTGGGCGTAAGCAGCGTCTCGAGCTCACACAGACCTGGTGTGTTGCCCACGCCTTGATACAGAGCCTCGAATTGAGCCGTGACGGCTTCTAGCGTCGGGGCAGAGCTGGCGCCGTTGAGCCCGTCGACGACCAGACGGTGCGTCAACTGCCAGTCATTGTTGGCATTGCCTGCTAGTTTGTGCTGATCGATGTCCTCGTGCGTGACGGACACGCCGAAGTGGCGCGCAGTGTCGATGATGGCCTGGCGGTAGGACTGGGACACCTCGGCCAGCACGCCGTCCATGTCCAGCAGCAAAGCCTGCACGGGAGACGCCATCGTTGTGGTGGTCTTTGGCAGAATGGATAAAGCGTGTTTGACGGAAACTGTACCTATGTATTGGTACACATGGTTGGCCAAACAGACATGTCATAAATGCAAATATAGACA